TAAATAATAAATAAAAAATAATAAATAATAAATAATAAATAAATATAAACATTTCTTATACTTTCGGATAAATGGTTTTATAGCCTTCAGTTTCACTGCCTTGTATGTTTATCATCACTTTTCAGTTTCATCAATTTCGTCAGTTTGTCGTTTCGTCACTTTTAAGATTTTGGATAAAATTCTGTTTCACATTTTATTAATAAGTGCATATGCCGCAATGCATAAATGGCATATATTATTGCTACACATATTTATTTATACAATTATAAAAAGTGGCTTGATGCAAGAATCAGTTTTTTTTGAACAGCCACTAAACCATAATTTAAAAGCGGAAATGGTGTATAAGATGAAAAAACATATCTTTATGAAAAACAAAACAATTATGGATTTATGATTAAGCCACAGGCAGCAATTTAAGCACAACAACTTCATTAGTTATTACATATTTTAATTGAATAATAATTGAAAAATCGTTAAACGACAAGAAATCATTTTGCCATGACAACCGAAAAACCTCAAGAATCTATTGTTGATATTGAAGAAGAAGGTGGAAAAGTAGAAGAAGGCGGAAAATTAAAAGATGGTGGAAAAGTAAAAGAGCTATATTTAGCTATTAGTCCAAATGGTGATTTTGTAGTAGAATTTGTAGTAGAATTTGGTAAAATTTCTGCAGAATAACTATTTATCTCTTCTAATACCAAATTATTATCCAATTATTGATTTGTATTGATTATTTTATTACAGCATTATCGTCTAGTGAATCAGAATTATCGAATTTGCAATTACGCATGTATAATGTTGTAAATGTTAAGGATTCGATGAAAAAAGACTATTTGGATCAGAAAATAGACTACTTGGATCCGAAAAATGGACTATCGTACAGAAAAATTTCTAAAATTACTGCATCTGAAAACACATTTACAAAAGAGCAATTTGAATTGATTAAATCTTTGATTAAATCTAAAAACAAACTGAGTTGGTCCGTTGCTGTGTCAGATAGACTCAAATCACATGAATCAACTGTTAGATTATTAGCGATATCTTGTATAAGCGAAGATGATATGACATATAAAGATTCTAATAATTCTAACGCTAGCTCTAGCACTAACTCTAGCTCTAGCTCTAGCACTAACTCTAGTTCTAACTTTAACTCTTTACCTAAACCTGGGTTTACTATCGTTTACTTAATTAATGAAAATCATTCAATTGAGGAAGAAATATTAAGGCTAGATAAATATGGTGGAATAGTCAAATTGTTCTCGAAAAATGAAGATAACAAAAAGACGGATAAGGATAGCCAAAATATGGATAAAAATACCAATGAAGATAGTTATCAAAATATAAATAAATACTTTCTTGTTATTTTAAATGCCTCTGGGATCCATAAACATCACTTTGAACATTTATATAAACCTACTTACAAAATTCAAAGTTTAAACCATTGCTTCGAACAACTATATAAACATACTATCAAAATTCAAAGTTTTTATTACCCAAAGCGAATAGATAAAGCCTTAAAATATAACAAATTTTCGGCTGAATTTAATCTGAAATATATTCTAAGATGCTTAAATAAGCATTATTTTTTAGTAGATACTACAAATGAGGGTGCACAATATATGGATCTTTATGATTTAAAAACGAATCAGTTAGTAAATACCTTTAGGAGGCGAAATTTAAACAGCTTAAAAAATTACATACTAGACATTTCTGATAATTTTGCAATATCACACAATAACAAATTATTAGCGTATAAATCAGGAAATCAGGTCAAATTATACTTGATTGAATGTGGACTTGAGATTGCTTCTATAAATATTGAGGATGGCAAATCTGTTTATGACTATTTCATGCATTTCTTTAATAATGATGAGAGATTATTTATATATCAAGCAAAAAATAAATGGACTATTTGGGATATTTTCGGTTCAGTACAAATGTCAATCAAACTCGAAAATCAGCTTGAGCTTGATCTTAAAATTTTAGGTTTTTTGAGTCCAAATGATTATCAATTGGAACGATCAAACTCTTTTGTAATCGTTGTTAAAAATAAAGAAGAAAAAGAATTCTCCGAAGATAAGCAGATTTATGATGATTACATCTCAGATTATATGTGTTTAGAACTAAAAAGTGACAAACAACATTTGAAGACACTATCGCTAAACGAAAGCTTTGCAGATACAGGCAATAATAAGTTTTTTATTTTTGACCTCAATAATCAAAAAACAGAATTAGATAGCTATTATTATATAATTGAGCCTTGGGTACATTGGCTTGAGAAAGGAGCTCCACGATATTCAGTTTATCTCGACAAAGAAAAGGAAATTCTACTTTTAATCGGAAGGGATACAATTCAGGTTTGGCATGACCGAGCTAAAGATAAAAATGTTCAAGCTAAAAAAAGAACCCTTGAATTCATTAGCGTGATCGATAAGGTTGATAATAAAGATGACGTTAAAAAAATCGAATATTCGATTAAAAAATTTAAAATTACCAAAGATTCTCAACCAGTAATTGAAATGAGAGGTGATGATGACTTAATCATTACTGTAATAGAAGCTTGTCACACACTTAAATTTTTGAAAAACCAAGCTGATGATGTTGATTATTTTTCAATATCAGATGAAAATCGCTATTTAAAATTTCAAAAGATAATCAAGCAAACACGAAATATTATTGTAAGATTTATTCAATTATATCCGGTTACTTGGCGATTATTAGATGTTCGCTATGATTTATTGAGTATTCTCAGTGAAGCGGAAGAATATCTGCTTATAAAATATGTATTATTCGAAGAAAAAAAAGATATCGATTCTTCTAAAAAATGCATTCTTAAAACTCTTGATTATTTAGTATCTAAATTAGAAAAAAATGAAAAAAATGAACTTTCACATGATATAAAGCTAGATCAAAATATTTTATCACATGAGAAATCACTTCGTATGCCCCAAAAATCTTCATGGGAAGATAAAGAAAATACTGAAAATTCGATTAAAAGGGCTCTTTCAGGTTCGTTTATTTAAATTTGTGTCATTAACTGTAAATGCATTTTAATTATTAGTTGATTAAGTTATTTTATTAGATGATTATCCGATATATCTAGGATATTTATTGGAATATTATTCTAATAAAGCTGTCGAAGATATTAGGTGGATGATTACAATTGATGAAATTTTACCAAAGCTATATAAAAAGAATAAAAATGGGGAAAATAAAAATGGTTAGCTATAACTTTCTCACTTAATATATGTGTAAATTATCTCAAACATTTCTTCTTTTTTCATATAGAGTTTTATAAATCGTATCAGCTATTATTTTATAAACGTTGCTTTTGTGAAAAAGAATTGGATATACCCTTTTTTGACTTTTATGT